CACAGAGCAGGGTGGATAAGGGGGTTGGGGCGCCGCACCCTGTCACACTCAAGGCAGGGCCGATGGGGAGGTTATGGCTGTACCCCATCACACACAGAGCAGGGCCAATCAGGGGGTTGGGGCTCCGCACCCTGTCACACACAGAGCCGCAGGGCGATCAGGGGGTTGGGGAGCTCACCCCTATCAGGCACAGAGCAGGGCTGATCAGGGGTTTGGGGTGCCTTCCCCTGACAGGAACAGAGCAGGGCAGATAGGGAGGTTGTGGCCCCGCCCCCTGTCACACACAGAGCCATAGGGCGATCAGGGGGTTTGGTCGCTGCCCCCTGTCACACTGATCCGGGTGCCGGGAGGCCTCGCGGCTCCGCTGATCCCGGTGCTGGGAGGCATATTACCCTTTTACTATATAGGATAGAGGCCTGGTGCACAGGTGGGGGCCAGCTGGTTTGCCCTGAAGGGTGTCCTGGATCAGGGTAGGGGTCCCCACTGGGGTGCCTGGCCAGCCTGGGTGAGGGGATGATGGCTGTTTGCAGCTGGTCACAGCCCCTTCAGGGTGGGGGTCCCTACTGGGGTGCCTGGCCAGTCTGGGTGAGGGGCTGAGGGCTGTTTTCAGGCTGGCGGGTGACTGAAGCTCCCAACCTCTTCTTTTTCCTTTTTTTTTTTATTCTGGATTTTATTTACCTTCTATGGCTGTCACTGGAGCTGAGAGCCGGCTCCAGCTTGAGACCTCGGCTGCTGAAAGCAGGGATCTGGGTTTGTTTGGGTTCTATAATTGAAACATTGTTTCGGTCCTGCTTGCTCCAGCTCTGATGGCTGAAAGCAGGTTTCTGGAGTTTGTTTAGCTTCTATGTTTGTAACATTGTTTCTTAGAGTGCAGCTCAGAGGCCGACAAGGCAGGCGGGGAACCTTGGCTTCCTCCATCACTGGAGCAAGCAAGTCTCCTTGTTCCCTTCAGCTGCCTGGCTGCTGGCCGCCATCTTGGCTGGCAGTTAATTTGCATATCTCGCTGATTAGCCAATGGGAAGGGTAGCGAAGTTATGGCTAATTACCATGTTTTTCTTTTATTAGATAGGATGATTGACAGAATCACTTTCTACTTCATTCTACAATACCTGGGAAAGTGATGATAGCAAAGAATTTACCCTGTTAATGGTCTCCCAAACTCTCTGCTTTTGCTTTATGCTGCTTAAACAATAAATGATCAAATGATTTTATTTCTTCTATAAAATAAAATGGGAACAATTTTTGATTTCCAATAATATTTCAAATAGAAATGGAAAAAAGGGGAGCAATGTGAGAATGACTAGAAATAAAAAAAAGGAGAGCAGAATGAGAGACCTGAGGCACATGATATGTGTGTGTGTGTTAGGAGGAGAACTGGGAATAAAGACAGCAGAGGGAAAGCCTGTTGTCAGGAAGAGCCATAAAACATTTAACAATATAAATGCCTTACAGTAAGTGTCATTGTCCCGGCTGTATTAGGTATTGAAATAATCATTCACCCTATTATGCCAACATTTAGAAAACTTGTGTTATGTGACTACATGAGCAACAACATTCTGGGAGGGAAAGTTTCTAAGTTTGGGAAATCAGGACAGAGCAGAGACCAGCACCAGTAGGCAAGTGAAGAGTTAGGTTGAGAAAATAATGAGGGAAAGATATTAGAACAAGAGCTAATGAATTGGTGAAAGGAGTAAGATAAAAAAAAATTCATGGACACAAACAGCAATATGGTGATAACCAGAGGGAATGCTGAAGAGGGGGGGCAGGTGGAAGAGAGTAAACACAGGATAAAAGTTGACGGAAGAAGACGAAATTTTGAACGGTGAATGCACAATGCGATGTGCAGATGATGTATTACAGAATTGTACACTTGAAACCTATATAATTTTATTGACAAATGTAACCCCAACAAATTCAATAAAAGTGAGCTAATGAAAATAATTATAAATAGAGTTTGGAACTATAAGCAGAGATTCCTTCCCCTAAATTAGGTAGTCTTTGCTCCCTCTGTAGCCTCGGTGGGCTCCATTCTCATTTGGAATTTAACCTTGCCTGTCCAAGATGGAAAGAGAAATCTGAGCAGGTCAGTGCAGCAGTTCTGGCTCAGCACTCAGACTGTGAATTCCTGCCTCAATCTCTCACATTTCTCGCTGCATTCTAGCCCCTCGTTTCACTAGAACATCAACGTGACCTCCTTATATTTGTCTTGCCTGAGATTCATTTATTATTTACAGTTGTAGGAATTTTTGTGTGATTTTTATCATTCACAACATTATGTTCAAATATCCTGCTGACTCAAAAGATTTGTAGTGAAAAGCAACAATCAATCCCCAGCCAACTCCCAAACATAAGATCAATGTTTTTATGGCTCATATGTTGCAATTGTTTCTGAAGTCACTTGTATTTCATCTGTATGTCTCATTTTCTCTCTCTTTTTATTTCTTGCCATGTTTAGAGTGATGAAACAGGATTGTTTATCTCCACAAATGCATATTCCTGGTTATTTTTCTGATGGTTTAATATGTTTCTTTATTCCCTGTACTTCCTACATGCTGGTAGTTATATCTATAGATTGGATGAGAAACACTAACAGTTTTACATTTCAAGGTGGCTTCTGAGTTTGTACAAAATATTTCTACCAGAGGCACATAAGCATTGGCAATGTCTCTTATTGTGCATTTAGCCACAGAACCATTTCTTAGATGTATTATTTTATTAGGGTTTGCAAACTGCTGGTATTCTAACTCTATCATTCCTGTGTCATTTATTATTTGGAATGAACTTAGAAGTAAAATATTGCATAAAGATGTCTGGATTAGAAGTTGGCAAGAATGTGGAATTGGAATTGGTTTAAGGTCAGTCTCTTGCTGAGCCTGCAAGTATAAGGTTGAAAGGACATACTGAAGATCAGGCATAGAAGTCTGGGGGAGTGAAGTAGCTGTGGTTCCAGGTTGAGTCCTTTTTCTGGTGGAGGCGTGTTAGATGTTCAGTGGCCACAGTACTCATGCAGAGTGAAGACCCACCAGAGCAGAGAGCCTGGAATAATAGGTTTGATGCTTAGTATTAGATTCAAGGAGAGGTGTGGGTCATGCTCTATCAAAACCTAGGGGTTCACCATCTTAATGTGTACAGAATTTCTTCTGGCCACATCTATTACTTCCTTTTTTCTATGTATTTCCTCTTCATTACACTTAAAGCAACTTTAACTGTGAAAACCACACCTTGGTTAGGAACTCGGGTTTTATTTTATATTCATTATGAAGCTTTAGACAGGGTTAAGCAGCTAAAACACCTCATTCTATTGGGATTGGTGATCTGCAATGGACCCTGAGTGCCCCTAGGTCTTCCTGATGGGTATGTCAGAAATGCAAAGCCCTTACTACTCATTACTATTTCTCAAGATTGTTTCAGCAGAGGGGAACCATGGAAATGAGGTAATATCCTATAGACAAGGAATGGACATGGATTTGCTTACCACAAGAGTGGCAAGTTACCCTAACTCACCGTCCTCTCCTATAGTGCAACCCACTGTGTGCGCTGCCACTCACCTAGACCCTCCGGCATCACACTTGTTGTAAGTGGTAGGGCATGAGGGACTGATGTGAATATGAACTGTGGCTACTGCTTTGCTCTGAATAATAATATCCCCTTTGTTACTGAACTAGAAGTTATGTGTCTTCTGCTACCAATCCTCAAATAGCAAGTAGTCAAACCTTACTAGTTTTTAAGCTGGGTAAAATCCCAGACCCTTCACTGTTCCTGAAAATTACATCCAACCTATTGGCAAAAATTTTTTGAATTATAACTTTCTATGCTGGTGGTGATGCAGAGAAAAGGGCACTCTGGTACCATGCTACAGCCATTTGGGAAGCAATTTGACAATAATGTACATTGGTGTACACTTATTGGCACATATTTGATTTTATACATCAAATGTGTGTGGACTTTACCTGTCAAGCATACCTCAAAATCATGGTATAAAAGGGATAACCAATATATAATATATACAAACATTTTAGTGTGAAATCTCATTTCTGGGAATCTATCCTATAAATATGAGGGTCCATAAGGGTATATATACAACAGTGTTCATTAAAGCACTCATCACAATTAATACTGAAAACCATCAAGAGGGCAATCCTTCAAGCTGGAGAAGAGAGCAGTTAGATCTCCATCTATTGATCTGAAGATATTCTCATCACGAATTGTTAACAGTGGAAAGCAACTTCCAAGAAAGTAAATGTATACTGTGACCATTTTTGTGGAAGAAATGACATAAACCATATGAAACAATCTGATTAACAGAAAGAAGTGGAAAATCAGAAACAGTAGATATTGACATTGGTTGTCTGTCTCGGATGGGGATGTGCAGAGAAAACAAAAGGGAGAAAAGTAATCCATTAGCTACTCTAGGTGCATGGGCACTGAAAGTTTTACTACAGGAAATACTCTAATTATCCCTGACCTCTGAAGTGTCAGCAAGAAGGGCTTTCTCTGGCCCACAATGGCGATCCCAGTGCCCCTTTGGCACACAGACCTGGTAGGTGAATAGAAAGTGAGTACAGTTGCCCAGGGGCACCAGACACTGCAAGAAAGAAAAGGGATGGCACCCAGGACCCCTTCAGAAAATGCTATTTAGTAGTACAACCAGGCAGGGGGTTGTGGTTGGGGGAAATGAGAGCTTAGAAAGAAAACTCTGGTGGAATCTCCCTGCTCCTCTCCATCTCTTCCCCCACCCAGGCTCAGCTCCTCATCTTCCTCTAAGCCCCATTCTCAGCACTTTGCTGAGAGGATCAGCTGCCTTTCCCCCACCCTCTGGGCTAATGCCAGGTTCTGGTTTGTCTGGGGTGGGGCCCAATCCTGTAGTGGGCTGGCACACACAGTGCTGCTTTATTAAGCCCTGGACTTGTCCTGAGGCCCCAGGACCAAGCCTGGCCGCGGAATCTTTGTCTGGTATCAGTAACAGAACCTCTGCCACCCAGGAGAGCACACCTGCTCCCATGGGCCTCTACCGCATCCAAGTGGCCACCGGGGCCTGGCTCTTCTCCGGGTCGTTCAACTGCGTGCAGCTGTGGCTGGTCGGGGAGCGCGGGGAGGCGGAGCTGGAGCTGCAGTTGCGGCCAGCGAGGGGACAGGTGGGCACGGCAAGCGGGGACACAGAACCTGTGGGGCTGGGCTTGCCCCATTGGGCAGGCGGGACACAGGAAGCTGGGAGCCAGTGAGGGAGCATCCATGCTGGCTGGGACTTCCAGTGAGAAGGGATAACTGCGACTGGATAGGTGAGAGGGTCAGAGCCCAGGGCAGGGGAGGGACTCAATCCCTTTCTACCCCCCCCCCCACTCAGCCTCAACTCCTTCCCCAAGTGACCCCAGGCCAGTGTCATTACGGGATCTGTGTTCAAAGGGGAGGGTCCTCTGAGAGCGCAGGCGTGGGCGCAGTGCGAGCTCACTTAGTGCATGGGTGTAGGTGATGATGCTCAGTGTTCAAGACACCACAGCCCTTGCCCCCGTCCTTCATCCTCCTGGTGCAATGGGGCGCCTGAGACCCACAGCGCAGGTGTTGGGAGGAGGCAATGCTGTCCCTGGAGGCCTTGTCACCAAACTCCACAGAGGACCTCGCACCCTCAGTTAAACGTCCTCTCCCGGGTCCCCACTACCAAGTCTCACCGGGGTTCTGTCCCCACAGGTGGAGGAGTTTGAGCAGGACGTTCCCCAGGACTTGGGGGCACTGCAGTTCGTGAAGTTGCGCAAACACCACTCCCTGGTGGACGATGCCTGGTTCTGTGACCGCATCACCGTGCAGGGACCAGAAGCCTTAGAGGAGGCCGCCTTCCCCTGCTACCGCTGGGTGCAGGGCGAGGGCGTGCTGACCCTGCCTGAGGGCACCGGTGAGGGGTCGCCACAGGGAAGTGGGTGCAGGACGTAAGGACGACTGGAGGTGGGGAAGCAGGGGATAGCACTGAGGAAGTGCCTAGAGGGCTTGAAAAAGTACATGCTCAGCAGGTTAAAGATGGACAAGACAGGAAAGGAGGGGGACGGTATACAGAGGATGAAAAGGATGGAAATGGGACTGGACAAGGAAATGAGTGATGCCATCCCACCTCTCAAAAAGGCAAGCACAGAGAATGGGAGGTGCAGCCATGCTGGGAGACAGACAAGCCAAAGGAAAGGGGCAAGGAGACCTCTCCCTGACTGTGAACATGGCAGGGCAGGGACAGGTGAGGCTAGCACATGTGATTCCCAAGAGGAGACAGGGACGGGGAGCAACAAGCAATATGACATGAAGAGCTGGTTTGGCTGTGAAAACATGGAAGACAACTGTGAGGGCAGGGAGCACACTGACCGGGTGAGGATGAATGAGGACAGCAAACAGAGAATCTGTTACCTTAGGAAATAAGTACAAGAGACAATTGAGGGAAATGACAGGTAAGACTGGAAGCCTGAACTAAATGTCTTTGAGGCACAAGTAAGTGTAAGTACCGATGAGGGCAGGGTTAAGCCAGGTTACCAACTATAAACTATGTGGAGTTGAGGACAGGTGAGATGAAGCCAGGTAAATGTAGCAACATGGATCCATTACTTGGTTTGGCGCACATAGAATACCTTATCCCAGGGAACAGGTGACAGTGGAAGTAGCCTGAGGTCAGAGGATGTAAGTGTTCTTCACTTAAAATATGTCATTTTTGAAGAACAGATTAAGGTGTGGACAGGGAAGGACCAGAACAGGGGATATTAACAAAGGAATTTTGGATAATATAGGATAGATGTTGACATTTCAGCTGATTAAGAATGAAATTCATAGATAATGAAGAAGATAGATAGATAGATAGATAGATAGATAGATAGATAGATAGATAATAGATTAGAGTGAGGTGTTATGTTAGGGTGTCAAAAATGATTTTCCTCTCAGGACAAATATGAGATTGGAGATTGGTGAAATGAAGAAAGGGGAGTGGGTGAAGATGAATGTTTAGTAAATTAAGTAGGGAGACAGAGCCAGAAAAAAACGGCATAATAGTATGATGCCATGCAACTAATAAATAGGAGATTGGAAGAAGCGAGGGCATAGCATGAAATTGGAGAACACATTTGCCTTAATGTCTCCCCAGCCCGTCTGGCAGGAAACAATACCTGGGATGTGTTCCAGAAGCATCGAGAACAGGAACTGGAGGAAAGACAGCAAATCTACTGGTGATCACCCTACTAAAGCCTCCCAATTATAACCCCTTCCCTGACAACTTCCTCCATTAATGACTTCTACCCCCTCCATTAACCTTTGTCCCCAAATCCTAGCTGGGCCACCTGGAAGGAAGGGTTACCCATGACAATTGCTGCAGGCAGTATAGATGATCTGCCTCCAAATATGAGATTCCATGAGCAGAAGAAGCTGGATTTTGAATGGACAGCAATTACAGGGTAAGGAAATAGTCAGAGTGAAGTGGGGCTGGTGGATCCAGAAACAGGAAGGATTTGGTAAATTGGTGGTTTCATCCTTGATGTCTGTTCTAGGATTGTGGAGATTGCTCTCAAATATGTTTATACCCTCCCGAGATCCTGGAACAGCCTAGAAGATTTTGATGAATTATTCTGGGGACAAAAGACTGCCCTGGCTGGTCAGTGGTTTCCCCAGGTCTCCATAACACCTTGATGGCCCTGATACTGAGCTGTTACACTCCATAGTCCCCAAAATTGCTTGCCAAAAAAGAACTTATACATGGGGATCTGACAGATGTCTCAGGTGTGAAAATATGTGGGCTGGGTATGGAGGAGCCATGTTACTAAATCCCTGGGTTAGAGTCTGGGGAAGAGGGAAATTGGGTTGTGGTGAATATCTTCCTCCTAACCTCTATACCAACCCCACAGAGAAGGTTCAAAAGTGCTGGCAGGATGATGAGCTTTTTGGCTACCAGTTCCTCAATGGGGTCAACCCAATGCTATTGAGACGCTCCACCTCTCTGCCCTCCCGGCTGGTAGTACCCTCAGGGATGGAGGACCTTCAGGCCCAGTTGGAGAAAGAACTCCAGGTACAACCTCCAGCCCTTTATTGTCTTCTTGTCTGTGTGGGGAATTGAAGTGGTGAAGGGGAGGGACCAAAGGTGAGTCAGGGAAGGGAGGCTGTGATGAGCCACTGTCCTTGGATACAGAGTCCTCTGCTAGAAATCATATAGGAGAGAAAGTACTAGTATGTAGGGGAAAGCATCAAGGCTTGATACAGCCAATAAAGCAGACCATTAGGAGATATTAGGGAAAGGAACTTGGGCAACTTAACAAGGGAAGAGTTTGGCATACTTGTGGTACAGAATCAACAGGCATACAGTACCTAGTTCTGAAACTACCTCTGACGTAGACAAGCCACATGTCTCTAGGGAAGACTCTTTTCATGGGGTCTTAGCCCTCCCTGTAAAATGAGAGAACTTGAACTTGATGCTCTAGTGCTTCCTTCACTTCTGCCACTGGGACTCTGGGACTGATGTAAGATAATGGCAAGAAAAGAGAGTGAATGTCTTTATGTTTCTTCTCATTTTCTTTGGCCCTGTGGAGGTATGCTTTCAACTAACTGTGGATATGGTCCTCTGTTCCTCAGAACGGTTCCCTGTTTGAGGCTGACTTCATCCTACTGGATGGAATTCCAGCCAATGTGGTCCAAGGAGAGAAGCAGTACCTGGCTGCCCCCCTTGTCATGCTGAAGATGGAACCCAGTGGGAAGCTGCTACCCCTGGTCATCCAGGTGAGGTGATATGGGTTTCCTCCTTCTAACACTGCTCTGTCTTCATCCCCAACTTCTGCCAAGGGACAAAGACAGCTGGTTCTTGTCCCCCCCCCCCCCCCGCCTCAGTCAGTGAGACCTGTCCTCATCTCCCGTCTCTCTTTTCAACCTTGCAACCTGCTCAATACTCACCCAAAATTGCCGTTTTAAGACTCATAATGGTCTCTGTTGGTTCTCACCGTAAGGCTACCAATCTCTTTCTGACCTTTGAGTCTCTCCAATCAATAGATGAGAACTGTCATGTATCTCACACATCCAGATTCTCCTTCCTATTCTACCATCCTAAC